AGCAAAGTCTTTGGCTGTTCCTGCGTGATCAGTAAAATAGCAACGGACAGTACATAAAATTAGAAACCCATGGAGGAGTACGTGGGACTTCAGTTGGTAAGAAATGGAACTGAAAGACAGTGGAATTTTGCCTCGAACTTTTGTAGCCCACTCACGTGCCTTCTGTAAACGGAAACCAGCTGAACTCATCTGTGCGTCCTCCTGCGGCTCTCTCATCTTAGAGCCTAGGAGATAGAAGATCACCAAGAAAAAATTTTTTAAACATTTTATTCAGGGCTCATACAACTGTTATCGCAATCCATACACACATCAATTGTGTAAAGCGCATTTGTACATCATTCTCAAAACATTTTCTCTCCACTTAAACCCCCGACATTAGGTCCTCGATTACAAAGAAATGGATGTCGTCCCAAACCCCATAACCGGAAGTTACCTACTGCCTAAAGCAGGGGTGCTCAAGCTTTTTAAGCAGGGGGCCAGTTCACTGTCCCTCAGACCTGTTGGAGGGCCGGACTGTAGTTTAAAAAAAACTATGAACAAATTCCTATGCACACTGCTCATATCTTATTTTGAAGTGAAAAACAAAATGGGGCAAAAACACCCGGCGGGCCGGATGAATATCCCCGGCGGGCCGCATGTGGCCCGCGGGTCCTAGTTTGAGGACGCCTGAAAAAAGGATGACACGTGGCTTCCTCTTAGAAATGTCGCCCGACTCCCACTCCAGCCCCCAGGTTTGCCAAGTTCCCCTTCTCTGTGTCCCGAAGGCACCTTTTCTACCCCTGCGCTGCGTCTGCCACACTGGCGGGACATGCCCTGTGATGTGTCTGTGAGGGTCCCAAGAGCATTTTTTGGATACTGAGTCCCTTGCCAGGGCCTGGTAAGTGGTACAGGCACAATAAGCTCATTCTTGTTAAGAACCCGGAAAGAAACATTCCGGTAGGTGCTTGGGAGCCTGTGCACTTCGACGCGGACTCATTACTCTCAGGGAGCCCTGGACCCAAGCCACATGCGCTCTCATGTTGGGTCTAATTCCAAGAAGCTTGATGGCGTGGCTGCTTTTATACTATGGTGACTTGAATATGGCTGTGATACAATCTTTCATATACTAGCAGGCTCACCTTTGGTGGACAAGTTTCCGTGGCGTGTCAAGACTAAAACACTGGGAAGAAAGAGCTGATAACCTACTTCCATAAACTAAGGGAAGAGGACTTTTGGGGTCACGAGAGAATGTTGTGTGGGGTTGTGCCGGGAGATTGAGCCGCTAGAGGGGAAGGCACTGCACTACACAGGCAATAGAAAACCCACACACCAGAGGGCTCAGCCCTGCCAACCAGCAGAAGGATGATGGTGCAGGACCGGGTGATGTTTGTTCCCCGTGTACATTTGTATGCGTCAGTGCCCGCTCTACCGTCACAGCGATAAAGACGCCCTCTGGCCTGCCTTTCCCGTGTTCCACGTTCAAGATGAATGCTGGGAAAATGGGAGAAAACACATCAGGCTTCCATTCGTTGCTAATTATAAAAGTTCCACATACTCCTCCCAGAAGCGACGAGAGTCAGAAAAAGTGCCCAAAGGAAACACCCGAACTCCCAGGGATTTAGGAAAAACTAGCATTGCCACCAGGTGGGTGTATGATTTTGTCCTGTTTGTACTGGCTGGACTGAAATCACTGTGTGCGTTCACACGTAGGATTTTATTAACGTAAATTATATACATGTACCATGAAAATGGCAATGGCGTCCCTTGGTAACAGGGGGAGAAATGTAGAAGCCTAAAACTCCCTGAGCACAAAAGTGATCAAAGACGCGGTCTGTTTAGACAATAGACAATCTCATTCTCCTCACAGAGGAAGCAGAAAAAAATCTGTGACAGCCCTACTTGAGAACTTAAGCAAATCACACACTGAGCCATGCTTCCTTATGACCTTTTAAACCGTAAAAGCATCCGCTGCAGCAGCAGCAGCAGCAGCCTGGCAGGACTGTTTATTGCACTTATTAGCAACCTCACCTGCACAATGACTGGCTTCCCTGGCAGGGGACGGCTCCACACTACCTCCCTCCCCTCAGCCCCTACCAAGGAGTGGGGCCTTTTGACCGTTTCTCACCACCTCTGCGGGAGACAGGTGCCAAACCGCCCCCCATCGTGCAGCAGACGTTGGAAAACAGGGTGCACAGAGTAGAACAAAGGGTTTCCTCACAGCAGATTCACGTTGCCACTCGGTAAATGCGTTCTCATTTTTCTACGTTGCCACCGTGTTTCTGGTCTTTGAGGAGATGCACCATTACTCTCATTGAAGTAATGTTTGTTCACAGCCTGCTTGCTGCAAGTTACAGGTAGTAGTGGGGCCCCTGGGCTCGCAGTTCTGGTGCTTCTGACCCCCTGGCTGTGCAGCAGAGGTGCCCACGCCCCTGGCTCTGGGCAGTCATGGAGGGCTGTGGGCAGGGGAGAGCAAGAGGGAAAGAAATGAGACGTGGGTAGTGCTTCCTTCCCCCAGTTCTGGAGTTTAGTCCTATGTCGGTATGAGAATGTTTGGGGGGTGGGGGTGGGTGGTCCCATCATCTGCACATGGATGAAATTATCCCTTGATATTCACATGTGTTTTTGATGCCTGTTGCCTTAGAAACTCTTGCCAAGGATGCTTGACTTGCATCAATCTGAGGAATAGCACTATCTCCAAACCCAGTTCCAGTAACTGGGTATTAAGAGCGATTGGCGCTCAGTTACTGCCAGTCACATCCATGAAGATGATCAAGCTGGTTTAAAACAAGCAAACAAAAAAGGATGAGGACTGGCATGTCTGCCAGGGATGGTTTGGGTGGCTTGCACCTTACAGTTCATCAGGCCCCTGATGGACATGTCCTCAGTCGTCCAGATGGACATGTCCTCGGTCGTGGAGATGTGGCCTCAGCAGCCTTTACCCTGCCCTCTCTCCGTTGCTAACTGGAGTCCTTCCCAGGTAGAACGTCAGAGCATTTGTGCCCATGCAAGGTCATTCCATCCAATCCTGGCTCACCCTTGGTCAGCCAGACCCAATCAAAGGCCACCAGGAGGCCCCTGGCTGTTTTTCAGGATTAACACACTCTGTTGCTAACCAAAAGTTGGAGGGTTAATTCCACCACAAAGTGCCCCAGGGAGATGGGGCAACCTACTTCTGAAAACCCAGCCAATGAAAAGCCCGTGGAGGCCAGTGGACCCATTGGCACCTGGTTTGCTGGTTAGCATGGGCATACCATGCTTGATTTCATATATATATAAAATCTCCACTGGCGTGTGTTGACCGTCTTCTGAACCTATAAAGAGATTGTGTTGTCTGTTTGTGGTTATTCGCCCTCTTAAAGTCCGCCTTTCATTCGCAGGAAACAAAAGCCCATCTTTGGCGGATACGGAAGGTTTTTTTTTTCTTTCCTAATTACAGTATGCCTTTAAGTAGGAGGTGGTGCCCGTGCTTGTCACTGTTCTGTAAGTAAGACCGACTGGTCTCGCTGATCCTTGAGACCGGGAGGTCATCGGTCCGCTGTCGATCGTTCCGCCACACATGTGCGGCCTTGCTCCCGGTCACGTTGGTAGCCTTGAAAACCACAAGTAAAAGTGGTTTGCATGTGTTCACATCTTTTCGTAAATACCGATTTCCTCATAAGCTACCTCCAGTTGCCCGCCTCTCCCTCCACCAAAAAAAAAAAAAAAAGTCACAGAAGGACACCAGTGGCCCTCGTGGGCTGGCCTGCTGGTGTGGCGTCACCGTGAGATGAGACCTCCCCCGGCTCCTCGGCAGCAGGTGGCCAGATGTCACTGCTCTCGTCACTTTCCGTCCCCGGAATGTCCCAGCACGTGTAAATGTGCTAGCTTATGTCACTTTATTGCTTCAACAATGTGTTTCCAACCAGACTCCATATGGGTAGAGACGCTGTTGGGTCCCCAACACCTATCTCAACACCTGGCCATGGAGAGCATTGCTCAGTGTTTGTGGGAAGGAGGGTGGGAGGGCGAAGATCCGGGAGGTTCCTCAAACAAGGTGCTTGTAGCATGGGAGTCTCGGGGGAATCACTTGTTGATCGAAACTTACAGGGTCCGTTCAGCAAGCCATCTTAATGTCCACAGCCCTATGTCCAGATCTCTGCGTAAGGCATGTCAGGCTGTGGAAATGCTGTTTGGAAGAGGCTACTTCCCCTGCCTGCTTGAGACTATACCTCTCCTCTTGGGTTTCCCTCCTGACTTGTGTGACCTAATGTGGAGCTCACAATGAGTCCAGCTCAGGCGTCTTGCTGGCTGCTTGGTCTGAAGGGTCTTCCTTTCTGTGTGTGTTCTCTGCCCTCCTGTCAGGGTTAAGGGGAGAGGTTCTCTGCCCTCTCTGTGACTCATCCAGTATCTTCCGGCTGAAATCCCTGTTCCTTTCCCTGAACAGTTTGTCAAACAGCCATGCCCCTCAGCCTACCTGCTTTTCATCTGGGGGCCCCAGGTTTTGGGTAGGGGTAGCACTGCCATTCCCGTGGCATTGCCGGTGGACGTGCAAGTTCAGATTGTCCTGCAGTTGACTCATCAGAGAGCAACAGTGCTGCATAGGGCTCTCGGGTGCGTTTTTCAAAAGCGCAGCATCGAATCTTTCTTCCCAAACACCTCTTGGGTGCACTGAAGCCTTTTCATAGAGCAGCCAAGCACGGTACCCAATGTCACTCCCCCGGGATGCTCAAGATTACATACCTTTAAGGTACAGAACTGGACCAAACCAAAAGATGCCAGCGACTTTTGACTTCAGATCTGACGCAAAAATCCGAGGCTGTGCGGGACTACCCAGAGAAAATCCAGCTGTTCCGCCTCACCTAAGGGCTCTAAGCCCCCCAGGAGCCATCGTGCTGCCCTCGGGGCCACTGTGGACATGTTTCATTGAATGCCTCCAGCTGGCCGGCCCCTTCTCCCACACCACATCCCCAGAGCAGATCATCCTGGTTGACCTCTCGGCCGACGCTACACTTCATGGGACTCTCCCTTGTGTCTGTCTCTAGGATCGGCTGTTTTTCGTAATGGAGTTCGTGAACGGGGGCGACCTGATGTTCCACATTCAGAAGTCTCGTCGCTTTGATGAAGCCCGAGCTCGTTTCTATGCTGCGGAAATCATTTCAGCGCTCATGTTCTTACACGAGAAAGGCATCATCTATAGGTGAGTTTTCATTGCCGGGCCCATCTCCCCACAATTATCATAGTCCATCCCCTCCCCGCTCCTCGTCGCCTGATCCGTCCTTCCATTTCTCATGCTCCTCAGGTTCAAACTTTCGGTGTTTTCATCAAAGCCTTTCATTAGTGTTCCTAAGCGTCTACCCGGCTCCGTGTAAAGCTTAGCAGTGAGCACTGTCTACCAACTGAAAATTGCCCCATCTGGTCTTTGTCAGATGGGCTGGGAGGCTTGGAAGAGACCGTTGGTGAGGTTAGCCAGCGGGGGTTTGCTACGTCCGTGGTTGCATGCCAAGTCTTGCATGGGCCTGAACACATGGTGCTTTTCACCATTTGAACATTTGCAGTGAATCAGCTATTTTGTCGCCGTCCGAGTCCGTACGTAAGCAGAATTGTGTGGGCCGCCATTGCTGGCTGGCTGTACGCCGCCGCCCCATCCACCCCCGATTCACGGTGATCTCATGACCCTGGCGCCGAGTGAGTGAGGCTGGGTCTCGCGCTGTTCCCAGGACAGGTTGCGGACTATTGGTGCCATTCCCAGGACAGGTTGTGGACTATTACTGCATCAAAGCAGCATGCGAGTCTCCACGGAGAGACAGGTGGTGACTGCGTGTGCTGCATTGGCTGGGAAGGGAACCTGAATTTTCTGCTTGGAAAACAAGTCCTTTACCTTGGGTTCACCGCTGCTCCTACCTCTGTGCTAAAAAAGCAAAACAAAACAAAAACCCCACGATCATAGAGTCTGTGCCTACTCATAGTGACTGTAAGACAGGTAGAACTACCCCTGTGAGTTTCTGAAACTACAGCTCTTTCTGGGAGGAGAAAGCCCTGTCTTTATCCTGAGAAGCAGCTGGTAGGTTTGAGCTGCTCCTCCTGCAGTTAGCAACCCAACATGTAACCACTATGCCACCAGGGCTCCTAGCCATTGGGCTAAAATGTTGTCTTAAAAGGAAATCAAGATTGATGGGGTGCACTTCACAAGACATTGCTTCCCGAAGTGGGTGATATGCCCCTTAGGGGTGTTGGACAAATTAGAGGAGAGGTAGCTATAAAAGCAGATCCCTACAATTACATCCCCGACTATGGGCTATAGTACAAAGGTTTTTCATTGCCAGGGGGGCACTCATTAATTTTTTTTTCCCTGAAAAGGGGACAGTAAGCCAAATAATTTGGGAACTTATGATCTAAGAAAACAGCCCGTAGTAATATCCTGCCTGCTGGTATTTGCCACTTGAACCATCTAAATACCATTTGATTTCTATTTCATGGCATGGAATCTTCTGATTGTGACATCTTCTTCTTCTTCAAATTGGCTCAGAGTCTGCAGATGTTAGGTCTCGGGGTTCCACAGATAGCAGATGTCACATTCATTAACCAGAAGGTTGGGTAAAGGAGACATGTGACAGAGAATGATGTCCAGTTACATTTTGGACAGTTGCATTTTATTCTCAAACTTTCTTCTTTTATTCTTGTTGCCAGTGCCCTGCTACTCTTTAAGCCGCCTTATGATTTAGTTGCACATAGACTCTTTTTCTCCCCCTCTTTTGATTTAATTGTTGCTTTCCTTTGAGGAAGAAAAAAGTTTCTTTATAGATTGGGAGTCTGAGTGCCAAAGAAAATAATTTCCTGAATGAAATTTGCTATTCATTAGCCTTGAGCTCTGTTACTTGTGTGAGCTCAGGACAGCTCTGTGGTGATTGTTAACATTGAAAAGAGCCTTTTGAAATAGAGGAAAGGCCTAGGAGGCAAATGACATTTACAGAAGGTCTACTTACAAGCAAGTACATATGTAAAATATATTTATAAATAACGATAGGGAGATAGATCTATGTACATATATTTATACGTTAAGTATTAAGGTAGCAGATGGATATAGGGCCTCTACTCAAGTACTCCCTCAATGCAAGAACACTTTGTTCTAATAACCTGGCATTCTGTGATGCTCACCTTCCCGACAGGGTCACTGAAGACAAAATGGGTGCATAAGCCAGTGTGGTGAAGAAAGCTGATGGTGCCCGGCTTTCAAAAGATATAGTGTCTGGGGTCTTAAAGGCCTGAAGATAAACAGATGGCCATCTAGCTGAGCAGCAACAAAGCCCACATGGAAGAAGCACACCAGCCTGTGTGATCAAGAGGTGTTGATGGGATCAGGTAGCAGGCATCAAAGACCCAGAACAAAAAAGCATATCAATGTCAGTGAGGGAGAACAGAGTGGAGACCCAAAGCCCATCTGTAGACAATTGGACATCCCCTTACAGAAGGGTCACACGGAAGAGATGAGCCAGTCAGGGTGCAGTATAGTACTGATGAAACATACAACTTCCTCTTGTTCTTTAATGCTTCCTCCCCTCCCCCCACTATCATGACCTCAATACTACCTTACAAATCTGGCTAGACCAGGACATGTACATAGGTACAATAAGAGCTGGAAACATGGAGAATCCAGGACAGATAATCCCCTCAGGACTAATATTGAGAGTAGCAATACCAGGAGGGGAAGGGGAAGGTGAGGGGAGAAAGGAGGAACCAATCACAATGATCTACATATAATCTCCTTCCTGGAGGATGGACAACAGGAGACATTAGTCAGTGTAAGACATGAAAAAATAATAATAATTTATACATTATCAAGGTTTCATGAGGGAGGGAGGGAGAGACTGTGTGTGGGGGTGGGGTGGGGTGGGGGGGCCGGGGAATGAGGAGCTGACCAAGGACTCAAGTAGAAAGAAAGTGTTTTGAAAATGATGATGGCAACAAATGTACAAATGTGCTTGACACGATGGATGGATGGATTGTGATAAGAGTTTGTATGAGCCCCCGATAAAATTATTTTTTTTTAAAAAGAAAGCAAAGAACCTTTTAAAGAGTAGATATTCTTATATGCCACTGGAGTCCGAGTGGGCAGAGAAAAGTGAGTGTGGTGAACATGCCACAGGACTAGAGATAAGCCAGAACGAAATGGGGAAGCCCAGGAGGCAGAACGGGCAGTCTACAGGTATTTCTTCTCGTTCATTCCCAAGACCGAAACCTGCAACTTCTACGAGAAAGAGCACTTTTATCACAGGCCAGAGGCACTGAGGTCTAGGGGGTGTGGGGCAGCTATCAGGAATTCCCATTCATTCTGAAGCGTGGGGTCATTGCAGGATGCTTTCAATGCCCTGTGCTTTGAGTTTTCAAAGGTGTTCTCATGGTAGCTCTGTTCAGGGATTTTTCCTTTCCCAGCCTTCCTCCAGCACACGGTTTGAGGATGGGCATGACCCCCTGTTGTCATGCCTGCTGGTGGTATCAGATTCCCAGTGGTGGGCTCCCTCCTTTGTTCTCATCTCCCTGATTTACCCATCCACCTCTGCTCTGTTTGCTCAGAGAGCGCCTTCCCCACACTCCGCTTCTGAAGACCAGTGACTTCCTACTGCGGAGGTACTTGTGCTGGCAATCTCTAGCCATTTGTTTAGGTGAGTGAGCCATAGAAGGGCCTAATAACCAAACCATTCGCCACTAGTGAAGCCAGAATTCAAGCTGGGTTTCTGGCCACCCAGCTTCACGGTCTCCTCAAGTGAAGATTTGACTTGAAGATTTAGAGCAGCACTGAGAAGTCCAGCTGCGGCTGCTGCTGCTGCGGCTTTTGAAGCTTGAAACAAAACACATCAAAGAAGGAAATTCAAAAAAAAAAAAGAAAGAAAGAAAGAAATGCTTGCCTGGGGACCCATGTGTGCCAAGCATAGCAACGGACCACATGGTTTTCGGTGGCTGGATTTGAGAAGTTGATTGCCAGACCTTTCTTTATAGGTTGATCTCTGTGGACACAAACCACCAACCTCTTGGATAGCAGTCAAGTGCTTAACCATTTGCACCATCGAGGGTCACCCTTATGGGGAGAAGCCAAAGCAAACCAGTCCCACTACCATGACGTGGATTCCGACTCACCGTGCCCCTCCCTGTAGGATAGGATAGAGAACTGTGTGCAGTCTGAATGTTCTCTTATTTTACCTCTCTGGGTTCTCATATGCATTGACAGGGCCACCCAGACCTCACAGACAAGATCCGTGATTCAGGGGTTTATTAAGGCAATTAACAAGTTGCGATGCCAATGAGACGTGCTCAGGGTTCAGTTGTTTTTTAGGACCTGTCACAAAGTTCTTTCGGTTCTGCTAATACATGCCCAAAGGGGCAGGCCACTGCTGTGAGCCTCAACCCGAAACCCTTTGGCTCAAGTTCCATGAGTCAGGAAACTCAGCCCCCCCGATCACGTGCCCAGAGACACCCCTCCACAAGCCATCCTTTTGCACAGAAGTGCTCAGCTTCACTTGCTCCGTGGGCTGGGGACCCCACCGCTCTGTCTGTGCTCTGGCTCCTGGCTCTGCTGCTGCTTCTCTGGTGGTAAGGCTGTCTTCTGGACCCTGGAGGTTGGCTGCCCAGGAATCTCGGTCCAGAGGACATGCTTTTACCCCTGGCTCTTGCTAGTAACGCGACCCCTCTTCTTGCTTCTCAGAGGGCTCATTGCATACACAGCATGAGGATCCAATCAGTAGCCTACCCCACCTTCATACTAGACAGTGCCGGGAAAGATGGTTCAGTGGGAGTTAGAGACCTGGAGCTAGAAGAACATTAAATAATTCATTGCCTCACTGACTGCTTCCTGGGGTTTTCAAAGCTGTAAATATTTACCCGCGCAAATAACTTCATCTTTCTCCCACGGGACTGATGGTGGGTTCACAGTCCAACGCTTACCCAAACATGGTCATCAAGGCTCATTTTTTGGAGATAGGGCAACTGTGAAAGTGAGTCAGAGCGAGGAAAAGCACTAAGGTCTGCACTCAGTGTTTTCTGACCATTCAGAGGTTTTACTTGGTCCTTTATTTATTTATTTTTTTTTAATTTATTTTTTTTTGGTCCTCTATTTTTTATTTTTATCTAAATTATTTTATTGGGGGCTTGTACAATGCTTCTCACAATCCATACACACATGCATTGTGCCCAGCACATTTGCAC